AGCAGCAGGAGTTCTGGTCCAGGGTGCTCTCTGGAGCACACTGTTCCCCAGCAAAGACAGCAAACCATCTGCGCCAGCACATGGCACCTGTCAAGGGTACTTTCCTCCTGTAGGTTAGAGCAAGACATGGCAAAGACCAAATTCAAATGGGAACATATAGCCATGGCAAAAGTATAGACATCAGCCACTACTACTGGGCACACAACTGAGTCCAGTAATCCCCTTATACCACCCATTCACTTATCTATACACTGACAGGCATAGATAGAAATGGTGTGGGCTAGGGTAATAGAATTTTAGATTTTTTTTTTACTTTATTCCTTGTTTTTTTGTTGTTGTTGTTGTTTGTTTGTTTTTGAAAGGGGCTTTATTTCTTAAATGCTGCAGTATATAATTTTTTAAAATACTGCACTTGTAATTTAAAAAATAACTTTATTGAGATATAATTTGAACACAAAAATTTCACCCTTTTGAAGTGTGTAACTCTGTGGTTTTTAGTATATTCAAATAACTATCACCACTATCGAATTTCAGAATATTTTCATCACTCCAAAGAGAAAACCTGTACTCACCAATAGTAACTGCCCTTTTACCCACTTCCACTAGCCACTGGAAAAACACTAGTCCACTTTCTTTCTGTATAGATCTGTCAATCCTGAACATTGCATATAGATGGAATTATACATTCTATGGCCTTTTGTGAATGGCTTCTTCTCCCTAGCATAATGTTTTCAGGGTTCATCCAGGCTGTAGCCTGTATCAGTAATTCTTTGCTTTTTATTGCCTAATAATATTCCATTGCATGGATACACAACACTTGGTTTATCCGTTTATTAGTTAGACACTTGGGTGGTTTCTATTTTTTGACTATCATGAAAGATGTGGTTATGAACTGTCACGTGCAAGACTTTCAATTTTCTTGAGTATATACCCAGGAGTGGAGTTACTGAGTCATATATTAGGTTTGGGTTTAAGGTTTTGAAGAATTGCGTCGCTGTTTTCTGAAGTGGCCACACAATTTGACAATTTTTTTTTTTTTTTTTTTTTTTTTTTTTGCGGTACGCGGGCCTCTCACCGCTGTGGCCTCTCCCGCTGCGGAGCACAGGCTCCGGACACGCAGGCTCAGCGGCCATGGCTCACGGGCCCAGCCGCTCCGCGGCATGTGGGATCTTCCTGGACCGGGGCACGAACCCGCGTCCCCTGCATCGGCAGGTGGACTCTCGACCACTGCGCCACCAGGGAGGCCCCCAATTTTACAATTTGACCAGCAATGTATAAAGCTCCAATTTCTCCACGTCCTCCCCAACACTTATTACTGTGTGTCTTTTGGATTCTCGCCTTTCCAGGGGGTGTAAAGTGGTTATCTCACGATTTTAATTTGCATTTCCCTAAAGACAAATAAAGTTAGCTATCTTTCTATGTGCTTCTTGTGTATATATATATATATTTTTTTGAGAAATGTGTATTCAAGCCCTTTGCTCATTTTTCTATTGAATTAATTATCTTTTTATTGTTGAGTTGTGAGAGTTCTTTATACATTTTAAATGTAAGACCCTAATCAGATATATAAATTGCAAGCATTTTTTCATATTATGTGGTTTTTCTTTTCATATTCCTTACGATGTCCTCTGAAGCACAAACGTTTTTAATTTAATAATGCCCAGTTTATTTTTTTGTCACGTGTGTTTTTGGCATCATATCTGAGAAATGATCACCTAAATCTAAGGCCCTCAGAATTTTCTCCTATATGTCTTTCTTAAGAGTGTCATATTTCACCTCTTACGTTTAGGTCTTTGATTCATTTTGAGTCAATTTCTGTATACGGTGTGAGGTGAGGGTCCAAATTTATTCTTTTGCATGTGGATACCCAGTGGTCCTAGCACCATTTGTTGAAAAAAGAATACCCTTTCAGCACTGTATTGTCTTGGCAGCCTGGCCAAAATCAATTGACTGTAAATGAAAGGGTTTACTTCTGGACTCTCAATTTTCTGCATGTCTAAGTTTATTTCTATAGCTTTGTAGTAAGTTTCAAAGTTGGGAAGTGTGAGTCCTCTAAATTTGTAGTTCTTTTTCAAGATTTCTTAGCTATTTTGGGTCCCTTGCATTTTCATATGCATTTTAGGATCAGCTTTACTATTTGTTAAAAAAAAAAAAGCTAGTTGGGACTGCATTTATAATCTCTTAAAATAATGAAGTTATTAATGTTAAAAGCTATATTTCCTACCAAAATACTAAATTTCTTCCTAAAATTTTATATAGATTCAAACTGAATAAAAATTACTATAATGCCTTAGGACTTACTAAAGAAATTGGATCTGGTGTAGGTGGCTGTTCAAATGCTTTCTGAAGCAGAGTGCAAAAGTGTATAATGAACATTTTAATACACATAGGAGGAAATTATTGAAATAGGTGAGTGCGGAAGGAACCACTGGTCCATAGAGAGTGCTAGCACACGAAACAGGAAGTCTCACAGACATAGAGAACAGACTTGCGGTTGCCAAGGGGGAGGGGGAAGGGGAGGGATGGATGGGGAGTTTGGGGTTAGCAGATGCAAACTATTATATATAAGATGGATAAACAACAAGGTCCTACTGTAGAGCACAGGGAACTATGTTCAATATCCTGTGATAAACCACAATGGAAAAGAATAGCAAAAGAATGTATTGATACACGTACGTATAACTGAATCACTCTGCAGTACAGCAGAAACCAACACACCATTGTAAATCAACTATACTTCAATAAACTAAATTAAAAACAAACAGTTGGAAATGCTGGATTGAACACAGTTCCACCGATCACTGCTCTTAGATTTCAGAGCCTCTTGACTATGCTAATGAGAGTTGTCAACTGCCCAGAGGAAGAGGCAGCGTAGACCTTCTAGGGGAGCAGTTGGGCTGAATCTAATCAGCCTCCAGGGGGCTGCAACAGAACTATGAAAATAAGTCAATAAGACAGAGCACGTATTTTCACTTTTTATTTGTCTTCCACGTGGTTGGGCGCAGGGTAGGACTGCCAGGTGGAAAAGTGCCGGAAAGGGTATTGCCTTGGAAAAAGAGTCTGGGACCTAGATGGCCCCCGGGTAAGTTCAAAGGCAGGGATCAGGTGTTGAAGATACCAGCCTGCATAGAGATCTACCTCTGAAGCTGAGGCCGCCACCTGGAGGAGTGCCGTGTAAACTGTGTGGATCCACATGCCACATGGACCTGGGCTCAGCCCCTCTAGTATCAGCCGTTGGGAATGAAGACAAGAGTGGAAAGTTACAGGATCCCCGCCCACTGTCAGTTTCATGCTACCATATAAGCTATCATCAAGCATTTCATTAACCACACGCAACTCCAAGCCATCTGCAATTTAATTTACCAGCAATTACTATCAAGATGACTGGGAAAAAGAAAACTACTGCTCAAAAGCCCTGGCGTCCAGGGCCAGGAAAGTCTCACTAGAAATGGTCACTTTTCTGCCTGTCGTTTGAATTGATACCAGCTTTCGCGTAATAAAAATCATGGTAACACAAAAGTCTGTCGCTTTTATTTTCTTGGCATTTAAGGGACAAATCTTGCAAACACACACTCAGTTTCTCCCCGAAACAGCTGCATTTTTTTATTTGGTGATTCAACACATTTTTAATTCAAATAGTCACCAGTTAACCTAGGCACAATATTAAGCATTTTACAAGCAAAGGATCTGACTGATTTTCTTTTTAATTGCCAAAGAGTATAATAAGTGAATCGGTTAATGATATACTTCTGTACATAAAAATATTCATGTATTTATACAAGTGTATGGAACAGAGTTTAAAGACAATCCAACCAGAACATCACAATAAATAGGATGTGGTCCTACAGGACAGCCAAGCATGCTTTGCCAGGAGGCTGTCAAGTCTCTTTTTTCAAGGTGCTTTATGTTCTACTGAGCTAGGCTCACATTTCCCAAAATAAAGGTTAGGGGTTAGTAATTCCTGGATCTGGATGCCTATGGGAATATGCTGCTTCTTGCTGGCGTCTCCAATAAGGGGAGTGGAAGATGACATATTTATTTATTTTCCAAGAGTCTTTGCAACTTATCAAATTCTATCCATTTCCCATGTCAATATTTTAAAATGCAGACTGATCTAAGCTCTAGCACCATACAAGAAGGAAATACATGTATTTTTGTCAGAGCAACAATATTTTATATCATCTTCGTCCCTCTGGCTATAACCATTCTGTTTAGAAAAATTTACCAAGCTAAAAATAGCTGATCTAGGTTGTCATAAAAAAGAATATTAAATACCTTTGGTAAAAATAGATATATTTAACAAGATTAGAAAAGCAAACAGTTATAATGTCAAAAGGAGACTATAAAAATGTACACAATAACACAAATAAACCAACTTATAAAGTGAAGATAAGGCCACTCTTCTCAGGTTTGTCTGTTCCAAACCGTGGATGGAGGTCTGTTCTTCTAAATGGTAGAAATCTGGGTAAGAATTAGGGAAAATCCAGTCTTTCCTATCAGCGCGACACAAGTTTAATTCATGGCAACACAGTTCTTTTTTAAAACCCACGTTGGTAGAACTTAGAACACTCTGGCTTATGCATGTGGATATGAGAAACAATCCCAGATTTCTGTGACTGTAGGCCCAGAGCAGGGGGCTTTAGAGTTAAGCAAGGCGACAGAACCAGGGGCTTAGGGGCAGTGTTTCCTGTGCTGACATGAACCTAGGTCACATCCAGACAAGAGACACAGATGCAGCCAAGGGCGCACGTGGGGACTTTGCCACTAACTAGGAATCTACAAGGTTCATCCTTTCCCCGGCAAGGACTTTTCTCCTGTCGTGGGGCCTCTCCTTCAAAGGGCCGTTGCACAACCCCTAATTCTGCGCGGTATCTCCTCTCTCAGAACACGCTGTAAATCCTGAAGATGAAAGGGCCCTGGAACCAACAGCCAGCCGGGATTGTGGATGGAGATAAGGCACGAGTTCTGTCGCAGTGGCAGCCCTGAGCCACCGCGAGGCGTTATCCCCCGGGGTTCCCCCTGCACACGCAGTCACACTCTTCGTGGTGCTCCAGGGCCACGTCCGTGAGCGACTTATGCAGCCCCCGGACTCCCGTCTTGGGTCTCAACTGAAGGACCTGAAAGGGAACGATGGAAACCACCTTTAAAAGCAGGCCACGTCTGCAACTTCTGATTTCATGGGCAAGGTCAATTTCAGACCAGAATCTCGGGGTCCAACAGTGACCTACACATTTTAATTTTTAACTACTGAAGGCAGGATGAACATATTCCCCCACCCCTCAGAGAAATCACAAATGATCATCATCACTGTATGAAAGGAAGGACCTTTTAATACCAACGATTTGGAAGGAGGCTGCTCAGAATAAAGAACAGTCCTTACACAGAGAACGGACTTGTGGTTGCCAAGGGGGACGGGGTGGGGGAGGGATGGAGTGGGAGTCTGGGGTTAGCAGAGGCCAACTATTACAAATAGAACGCATAAACACCAAGGTCCTACTGCAGAGCACAGGGAGCTATATTCAGTATCCTGGGATAAACCATCATGGAAAAGAAGATGAAAAAGAACGTATATATGTGTATAACTGAATCACTTTGCTGCACAGCAGAAATTAACACAATGTTGTGAACCAACTATACTTCAATAAAATAAATTAAAAAAAAAAAAAAAGAACCGTCCTTAAATGGAAAGACCCACCATACCACGCCCGCTTTCCTTTATGCACCTAACTGTATTAGAAAGAATTCCACCTTGGTTAGGTGTCTTGGAACCACTAATGTGCAATTCATTTTTCTGTTTGTTGGTTTCTTTCACTCATTCATTTATTCACACACTTAGCAAATATTTATCCTTGAAGCAAGGCAGGCAAGTACTGCGATGCTGTGAAAAGAAACATGGTCTGCAGATGAGTCTGAGTCAATTACGCCACTCATTAATGCCCTTGGCTAAAGGTCAAGTCCTCCATCAACTTGATGAGACGGATTACATGTATTTTGTAGACATCAGCCTCGGTCACAGCTAACTTTCTACAGCTGGGTCCTAGTGCACCGTAGATGGTTTGGCGATAATAACAAGAATGTCTCTATTAAATGAAGTTATTTGCAATTTGGATGGTTGAGATTCTTAACCAGAAATATAGCACAACGGACACTGATACTAAACTCACCCTTTTCACACTGTGACGGAGGGACACGGCTATGTACTCTATAAGAGACTACCTGACGTATCTGATAAGAACTAACCACTCAATGTGTATTATTACATTTTAGGTCTTATGACAGAAACGGTAAAGTTTTAGAAATTATGTGGCTTTGGCTTATGAACAAAGCCTAGAGCACACAATAATAGGAAGTCGTCCAGTTTCTCTGCTCTCTGGGTCCGACACGGATAACCTCATAGAGCAACTTCTAAAAGATACCGTTGCTGGAAATATTCATGAATCCAAAAAGGCAAAGGTCAGGTTTTATGACTGTCTTACTTGAAGATTTAAAAAAGAAAAACAGAGGATGGTCCCTCATTTGGAGTATGTGGTCATATCGAAGGTTAATTAGCTAACATTTTTTGAATGCTTATGGAGTGCCAGGCGCTCTAATAATGTTTTTACGTACTTTAACTCACAAGAATTCTATGAAGTAATTTGCAGTTATTACCCCTATTTTACATGTGAGTGAACAGAAGCTTAGAGAGAATGAGTGACACAGCCAGTATCTGTACTTCTGCCAAACAGAAATGATTAAAGTTGCAGTGATGGATACTAATTTCATCAAGACTCGGAATATTACTAGTCATACAGTCTATTTATTTAGTAACTCTCTTCCTAGAGAGATAAACTGCAAAATCTTATGATAACGATGAGAAACAGTAAACTTTTAAAGATTCTCTATTACATTTACAATTCCAGAATAAAAATTCCTAAGACCATTATGTTAATGTGAAACTGAACCCAATGAGTATTGAATATAGATGATGGGTTGGTACTGATTTCTTGTTCTTGACCAACATAAGGCGGTGTCAAAACCAACTTCTCTTAAGATGCTGGCACTATACCTTAGTAGCACACTCGCGCTACAAATGGCTTCTGGAATGAGGTTGGGTGGAGATACACTGCGATATTGGCATTAGACAATGTCTTTAAATCCTGTGTCCACTTGTATACATTTTCCCAGTTGGCAGGGGAAAAATAACTATGAAGGGTAATGGTCAGAGAGGCCGCCATATACAGTCCTGACAGTCGATGACACCAGGCTGCAATCCTACAGTCTTTCCTTCCTCTGCGGTGCTTACGCAACATACGTTCACCAAATAAACGTCCCCCGCCCCATGCCCAGTCTTCATCCACTGATATCTGTGGATATTTACAAATAGCAGAAGAATCTCATAATGTTCCAGTGACCTTAAGGTCTTGTACATGGTGTGGAGGGGTGGGTGATAATTAGTGTTTTCCCTCTTAATTCCCTTTGAAAGTTTGGACTTTGGGAGACAAAGAGAGACTTGGAAGATGACCAGCTGGTCCCAGATAATGTTAAAGAAGAGAATTTGGTTTTTAGGACATAGCTTATGACACAGAAAAGAAACAAGGTAGAAGGACATCTCACAGAAATGTCGAGGAAGAGGTTCAAACTAAGATTACGAGTCCATGGAAAAATAATCCAGGCAAAAGCTAAAACCAGAGACTGCGGACAGAACAGATCAGGCACAGAAAGACCCATCAAGGAATGATGCCCAAAATTCTGGACGGCATAGAACCTTGAGTGATGGGGCTCACTACTAGAATAAAGCAATTGAGTGGTATATTTATTTCTCCCAAACAAACAGATCTAAGCAAGAAAACACTACGTGTTAAGGAAAGAAGTGAAACTAAATAGACAAGGATATAAACAAGGTGAAACTCATCATGCTGATTAAGAATCGAAAAAAGGAGCCAATCTGTTTCTTCTGTCAGAGTCTCCTATAGATCTTTTTGCCAGAAAGAGAATACCGTCCTACCTCTGGGCAAATTCATTAAATCTTTACTGATCATTTGCCATACTTTAATGAGGCTAGGAACAGGGAGGAAGTGAAGGTGAGTGAGACAATAGCTAGCATATACTGAGGGCTTGAAATGTGCCAGACCTCGTTCTAAGCCTTCTTCATAATAAGGCACGAGCGGTGACAGCTCACTTCACACACAGATGGAGAAATCGAGGCCCAGGGGACGAAGTAATTTGCTCTAAGTCACAAATGTCAGATTCAAACCTTGGATGCCCAGCCTTGGAGTCCCTGCTCTTGAGTGCTACACTGTGATGGGATCTTTACTCTGAGTTCTCAATTTGGGAGAAACAAATACAAATCAATAATAATTATGAAATAATAAAAGTTATCTTATAGAGATATCTTTAAAGTCCTACACGTGCACAGAGGAGGAATGAGTTATGCTGGGATTGGCAGGAAACTCAAAAGTGTTTCAAGGAAGAGGTAACATCTAAGTTTATATGTATGTAAAGCTCCTGTCTTGCTTTTTTGAGAATTCCTATTTGGGAGACAGGGAAATGAAGAAAAAACATTTTTTTGTTTTTGGCTAAAATGGCTTCCGATAAAGAGTATCTGGTGACTGATACAAAGAATCAATCTTAATGATACTATTATGCTATAATATTATACCAAAACATTACTACAGTAATATCATTATATTTTATGGGACTTTTAAGTCTGTAAACTTATTTTTGATACAATGGTTGAACAAAACTCAAGGAAAATGCTAAAGGAAAGCAAAAGAGGGAATAACTCAGTTATATTTGTAGTGATACAAATGGACACACGTCAGCTTAATATGCAGGGAAGCTGGTATAATAGAGCTGGATGGAAGAGAGAAAAATTTAAACTCCTAAGCTCTATCTTTGCTTTTGCCTTGTCCATGAGGTGGGATAATCTTTAAACTGAAAACTGGAGCAATGACCATCAAAAAGAATTAAAGCCCAAGATGGGCTTAACTTTGAATGAGTTAAATCTTTAGTTCCAGATTAATGGTTTTCGATGACTTAAGAACTATTTTGAACTATGTTTTCAAAAACTTTCACTTATTTAGGAGTAGTACTAGACTCAGAACTTACTTCCAAAATATAAGACTGAGAAAAATCTAGGCCCCAGAAATCATGAATTACACCAAACAAGTAATCCTTTTTTCATAGGGTAATTTGATGGTTAACAAAATAGCTATCACAGAAAAATTTGTAATTCCCATAGAAGAGAACTGAGATGATTGGATTGGAGATATCTACGAGAAATGTGGAATAGGTAACCATGTATATTTCTGCACACACACATTAGAGATATTTGTGGGAAACTTGCACTACATGGTCGTACAATTAGATAAGCACGCGAAGTTGTAAGTGTGGACATGCAGGTAATACATATAATCGACCCCACCTGAAGACTGGAGAGGCTGAATCAATACCGTTCTGGAAGGTCAGTGAGTGTCCAAGCACTGACCATGGCCTTTCCCTGCACAAGAACTTTATCTCAGACTTTAAAACAGATACTGCACGTTCTGGGGCAACTTTCCGGAGAACCCTAAAACTAATGGCATTTGAAAAGAAATTTACAAGTATAGGATGGGGGAGGATACACTTGATCTGAGGACTGAATCAGCTGCCCCAGAAGCATGATACCAACTCAGCATCTGATAAACTTGTTTAGAAAAGCTCTGGGTTTTACAGATTGGAGCAAGGTGAGTCATAAGCCCAAGACTTGTTGGCTAAATCAGGTCCCCAGATACACTTTGCTTAGTAAGTCCCTGCTTTGCTTTAGAAAGTTCAAAATGAAATGATTTTAGGTGGGGAAAGATCACCCCAGCTTAATTCCTACTCTCACCCTATTCTTTTACATTATGCCAACCAACTCTAACATCTGCCGACCCTTTAAGGCCTTTTAACTTTCATGCGCTTTAGGGCTGTCACTGAGCAGGACTCTGGGAGGCCTTCCCAGAGCAGACCACCTCGCCCGCCCGGCCGCATGTCCTCTGCCTGTCTTTTGTCCGTGGAAAAACTCTAGTCATTTAATCAGAGAAAAGAGAAAACACAGAAAGAAAGGAAACAGTACGGCAAGACAAAATAATAACAGTTTAGCCATTAAGCAAAGTCAAGGACCTTTAGTTCCTCCTCACGGGCTACAGATGATATTCTGAGTCAGGTCCCTTGAGCTGTTTTGCAGATACTGAAGCCGCCACCAGATGGAAGAAGTGAACTGCATGCTGCCCACAAGCACGTAGACCCCAGACCGGTTGGAACCAGAAGGTTGATGATGTGGACTCCCGATGACCTCACCACCAACCAATCAGAAGAGTGTCCACCAGCTGATCACACACCTCACCCTGTCTTTAAAATCCTGTCCCTGAAAGCCTTTGAGGAGTTTGGGTCTTTTAAGCGCTAGCTGCCTGGTCTCCTTGCTTGGCACCTGCAATGAATACTGTACTTTCCTTCACCATGACCTGGTTCAGCAGCTTTACTGCCCCAGCAAGCAGACCCGAGTTTGGTTTGGTAACGGAACTACCACGTTAAGGGTTTTTTTCTTGACTAGACTCCCAGTTCTTAGAGTAGCAACAAGCCATCCTCTGGGCAGAGTGGAGCTGGGGCTCCCGCAAGCTCCCGAGGACCTCCTCCTGAACAGGAGTGCAGGCCGTTCCCAGCACAAAGGATCTTTAGACGTGTGTGGTGTAGAAACGAAAGTGGAATATGAGGAGGGCAGTCAAATGTCCTACTTTAATCCCAGACTGCCAGTTTTGGATGTCATCTTCTAAAAATTGCCATCTAACAATTGTCAGAGAATAACACCTTTAGGAAAAACCTGAGAGGTTATCATAGTTTGCACATATTTTACAAAGGTTAAGTGTCCTGTGGATGGTTACAAGTTAATGGTAGATCTAGGATGGAAACAGGCACCTTGTCTTGAATCCAGTGCTTTTCTCCCACTTAATCAACTGCCAACACAATATTGGGGAAGAGCTGGGCAACCATATCACATGAGTGCAGCTACCTGTTCAGATTTTACCCAACAGATTAGGGTTTCACCGACGTCTTCACTCACAGGAAAAATCATTTCATTTATTGTATTTAGTTTGTGTTATTCTTTTATTTAGCAGAAAAAAGTGAAAATGAATGAAGCCATATCCAAATGAAGTCAGGAGGTAGATTTTGGTTTGGTTTTGTGAAAATTAAAGTTTGTAAAAGACATTTTGTAAAGACTGAAGGTGAGCCATCAAGAAGGGACTGCTTCCGGATGTACGAAAGCTAGGTGATTCTGGGGAGGACTGGAGGGGGTTGGGTATCACCGGGGATAATGAAAATTTGAAATGTATAAACTCAAGGCCCCCAAGGCTCTGAAAAACAATAATTACTAACATTTAATATTGTACTGTCCTTAATTCCATGGAATAAAGGGAAGGATGAAGAATCCATAAAAAGCTTAACATACTATTGGGGGGACCATGAATAAGAGGAAGATATAAATGATGAAATAACAGAAAGTATAATTATGAATATGTCCCTTGGATTTTATGTGCCCAAATGGCCCCAAATGGAAAAATAAATATTAAAGAGCTTTATTTTCTCCAAAATAGACCATAATTTACCTCCAAGTTTGTCTTTAAAATATTTTCCCTTCGTATTTTGAAGAGGTGAAAAGTTTCACCATTTTTCCCCCTGGAAAAACACAGTTTCTTTTTTGTATGAGACAGAAAACCTCCACTGGGTACCCATGATGTGCTATCAGAGGACAAGCTTTCTAAATCCTTGATGTCTGGTTTCCTGAGTTCAAGGTCCTAATTAAAAAACAGGGACTTCCCTGGTGGCACGGTGGTTAAGAATCCGCCTGCCAATGCAGGGGACGGGCTCGAGCCCTGCTCCAGGAAGATCCCACATGCCACGGAGCAACGAAGCCTGTGCGCCACAACTACTGAGCCTGCGCTCTAGAGCCCGTGCGCCACAACTACTGAGCCTGCGCTCTGGAGCCCACGAGCCACAACTACTGAGCCTGCGCTCTAGAGTCCATGAACCACAACTACTGAGCCTGTGCTCTAGAGCCCACGAGCCACAACTACTGAGCCCATGCGCCACAACTACTGAAGCCCACCTGCCTAGAGCCCGTGCTCCGCAACAAGAGAAGCCACCGCAATGAGAAGCCTGTGCACCGCAACAAAGAGTAGCACCCGCTCGCCGCAACTAGAGAAAGCCCGCGCGCAGCAACAAAGACCCAACGCAGCCAAAAAAGCAATAAATAAATTTAAAATAATAATAATAAAGGAAAACTTGAGCTCTTGGGTAAACCTTGGTTTTGTCTGGTCTGGTTTTCGTGAAGATGACATCTCCCTTCTAAACCAAAATCCACTTCAGAGAGGCTGGTCTGTCACCTTTCGGGAAGGGAAAGGCTGTCCGTACCTCATGATACTTCTTGGTGACTTTGCTGGGGACACACTGACACTCGCTGCAGGTGTGCAGGCAGCACGCGCAGTTCCCGCCGCAGCGCTTCACCAGGAGACAGCCCGGCCAGAAGACGGTGTCGGTCCTCTTGAGCTCCTCCCGGATGGACACGGAGAAGTTGCGAGGCGTGCAGCTATAGAGCCGCACCTCTTCCTTGAGCAGGTTCAGGCCCAGCACTGCACGGCACACAGGGGAGCAGAGGAAGAGGCGGTCACGCTCTGAGCCTTGTGATTTCACCAAGCGCCCTCGCGCTCTCTCTCTCTCATACAGAAATCTAGACATCTCCCGAACCATCGCCCCAATAAGGACCCCGATTATTTAACTAGGTCTTAGGGCGATGCAGCTCGCAGGCTGGGCTTTCCGTTTTATGGCAAACAGAGCTTCCTTGTGACCCAGGGACGGATGAAGGGACAAGGACGGCATTGTGCAGTGTTGAGGATGGAGCCTACAGGAGAGTTACCAGCTATAAACAGGAAACTTTCTAGAGAAAAAGGGGGCTACACCTTTTAACCTTTGGAAAAAAAGTAAACAAGGGGGGCGTGGGAGGGAAGAATAGAATGTAAAACGAAAGCTTTGATGAAAAAACAGATGTGATTTTTAGAAGGATGACAAGCTCCCGCAATGAATGAAGAACCACGAACAGACACTTGTTGACAGAACCTTCTATAATCTTCCTGGCAACAAGAATCATAGAGTGTGAAAAGGAAATGAAGCAAATGAATTTCTGAAGACGGCTGAGTGGACCAGGGGTGGGGAAAAAGACACGTTTTAAAGGAGCAGAAGTTGCTGGAAAGCACTGCTTCTGGCGCGTTGAGGAATTTTTGGACTTGGAAATTGAGCTTTAACTAGACTCCTTTTCAGATTTCTATTCTCCTGAAGGGCAGAAGAAATGTCTAATTTATAACCACTGTCTCTATTCTTTTAGTAACTTGGTTAACTATGCTGTGTTTTAAGAGAGTACTCTTCTTTAAGAGAGTACCTACATGTGAAGACCAAACCAAATATCCTTTCATCAGATTGTTGCAGTATATTCTAAAGAACCATTGTTATTAACTATAAAATGACACGGCCTCAGTTAAATTATATCAAAATAACACATCGTGTTTAACATGAGCTTATATATAACATATGAGGTAGCTGATAATTATTAGGATAAGCAATTCTACTATGATTTTAATTTCTGCCTTATAGCTTTGCCTTTTTTCCCCTAGAAATATTCAAATCAAAGCAATTCCAATAAAATTGAAGTTTGGAATAACATATAATTCATCAGAGCTTTTTTCTTTCAAAAACAAAGTTTTTATTAAAATTTAGGAATGCTATCTAAAATATACTAAATCTGGTTAAATACCTTTTCAGTAATATTGGCTACATTATAAATAATACTTTCTGGTTAAAGATAGCTTCAGATAATAATAATCACTACATAACCCAGTCTTAAAAATTAAGTGCCAACATTTTGAAATACTTTTAAAGTGACACGGTAATTAAGAATCAAAGGCTTGTTTTCTTCGCTAGGTTATTCTTGGGTATGTGGTCAAGTTTTTCTAAAATGTCAAAGGAAGCCAATGTAAGTATTTTCAAGAAATATATTACAGCCTATGCAAATGCAATTGTCAACTATAAGCACACGTAAACCATATGGTTGACTAAAACCCTGGTCAAGTAAGGGGAACACGGAGGAAATGCTAATTCAATGAGTTCATTTCAACATCTTATTCAGCTAGAAATTATTTTTTCCAACTCAAGAGAAAATCACTGTTTTATCTGAGTATCTAAAGATTTCCCTTTCATCTGAAAAATGACCCTGTGACAGTAAAGCTTTTAAATATTTAAGAGGAAAAGAGTTCATTCTTTCGAGGGCCATTAAAGAGAGGCTTATCTCTAATAAAATTAATGAGATAATTAGGTTAAATGATGTCACGTACTTTACCTCATTTCACTTTGCCGAACCCTAACCTATGTCTATATATGCTCTTTCGCTGTCAAAGCTGTATATGAGCTTCTTTGAATCTTTTCGCTAGAAGTTAACATCTAGGCAAGGAGAGAGAAAACCTAAAACAGGCACACACATCCAAAAGCCAGTTGCCAAAGTTTTTAATGCTTATTTAAGATTTATACTTCTTTAGAATGTGAATGAAGCTCTTAAGCTTTCAAAGGATATTCATCTACCTTAAAGAGTTTTAAACATACTATTTCATGAAACTAGAAAATGAGTCTGTATATGTTAGCTTTAAAATGTTTACTTAACCACAATAAAAGGTTAGATGGATTTCCCAAGTGAACCAAGTTATGATACCTGCTACAATGTGAAAATTTAAACAGACTTTCAACTTAGCTTCCACTCATCTATCATGTTTGACACAAAAGTCAAAAGCCGTTTTTAAGTACTAGTTAAGCCTGACTTAAAAAATATGGGTTTTTCTTTTCTGTAGTAGTAAGGTATGAATGAACACGCTGAACCAGAGGAAGAAAGGGAAAATAAAGAAAAGGAAAGACATTAACACAGTCCCCTCTGGGCTAAAAATACAAGTAAGGACTTTACATTTAGCATATGTTATTTGAAATTTATGCTTCCTACTTCTAGGGCTTCAAACACATCTAAGCATCATTAGAATAAGTCACGTGACTATGATTGGTGTCACAAATATTTGTAAAGTATAAACTTAGCCTTCAGATGCTTTATTTCCTTTTCGTAACAACCTCCTAAGACAATACATGCATTAGCTTGTCTTTCTAAAGAATGAAGATTTGAAGCCTGTCGTCAATAAAAATTGTTTTTCTAATGCCTGTTTTCTTGTTCAGATTCATGAATATTGCAAGCCTTCCTAAAAAGAATAATACTGATTGGAAAAAATTATGATCACATTTTACTTTGTCAGTGTTCATTCTTTTCAGACACTCAGCCCAAGGATATTCTATTAACGTAATGCAATCTGAGGGTGGTCTTTCTAAGATGAATGTGGTAACGCTGTGATATGTTTATTCTGTGGAAAATCTATCTCAATCTCTAATTAGAAGCTTTTAAATGTTTTACTCCTCCTTCCTTTGTAGAAAGACTCCTGTGGGGGGGAGTTGGTTTTGTCTATAGAGACGTTATCCCACACCTGCATTTTAGTTTGTGTAGAGTTCCAAAAATATGCACTGCTGTGCTCACACTTACTGTACGCTTAAAAAGTTAATAGTTTTGGCAAACTGCAAAGGGCTTCAATTTGGAAAGTGTTAAATGAATATTTGAAAGATCTGGTTCAGCGCTGGGCCTTTTAAATACACCCTAGCCTCCGGCCAAATCTTCACTGAGCACCACGTGAGAGGTACAGGCATAAAGGCAGGGATAGAGGGGAGATTTTCAGGCTCGTATCCCAAGATCGGCTGTCAAAAAACTAGATCTGAGCTCAGTCCGGTTGACTCCCTCCGCTTCTTACAGATCCAGAGGATAATCTACCTCGAATTTGCTAACAAAGGCTCTATTCAGGGGCGTTTCAGCCAGCCTTGCAAATCTTCATCTTCCCGTTCCTAAGTGGGAGGGAAGGGAAGTGTTGCTGTTGGTGAGTTATTTATCACGATCAGGTCCTATAAATATGTAACCGTTTTCAGCATCTGGACAAGATTCAGCTGCCTCTGGACGTGAACAGCAATTTCCAATATCGCTGAGAGGAAACCAGGGCTGCTGGTCCAGCAGAACACCGTGCTGGGCAAGTCCGAACATGATCTGCTGAGATGTAAGTCCTGATCAGAAGGACTGCAACTCTTAGCAGGAGAGGGCAGGAATCGGGTTTCTTTCTGACCAGTCTGATGCAATCTGCCCCTGTGAGTCGCTCAAATTAACGAAACACTGTGCTTTCTACAGACTTTCTGCAGACTGTCCTCCTTTCTCTAAAGGGACCCTGGGTAGATTTCAAAGTTTCTGACAGACTGAAGCAGATTGTCTGAGGGCTTTATAACTACCCAGTTACGTTTTCATTTGTGTTTGAGAGGGATGCTTTCCAAGTTTAGGGTGACGAGGAAAGTTACCTGACCTGAGAACAGATTCGGCTAACATTATCTCCAATCTCTTGACCATGTGGAATTAAGTTTAATTATCAACACTTTCACTCTTGAAGGGAGATGTGCTCATAGAATCAAAAGTGATCATTTCAGAAGCATATTTACATAGAAAAAATTATCATGGTGTGAGTTCCTTTAGAGCATTATTTTCTTACAGTGACTTCTATCTTGGAAACTACATTTCTGTTTTCTGGGGAGCCATTGTTATTTTTCGTATTATTTAGAAAAGTTTCCAGGCTTAGGAAATGGACATTGATATAATCCTGACTCATGGGGTCATGGTGGATACAGATTTTAATACAGCTTTCCCCTTTTCTAGCCCTAAACCTGGTTTAGCAGCTACGATAATCTCTCTTGAATCTCTGAATCAATATACCCCAAATATTAAGTTTGAATAAGCAATGTTTCTTGTGAAATGTAGCACAGGACTTCATCAAAATGATATTTCCGAATTAAATAAATAACAGGAATTTTCAGCAAAAGCATCTCTTTTAATCTTCCAAACCCTCCTTTTATATGTATTCTTATTTAATATGTAAATATGCTCAAATGTTAAGAAGGTGGATTACTTAAACTTATCGGGGAAGAATTTTAAACTCTCCTCATCAGAAGGTATGGCAGAAGGATCTGAAACATTAGCTGCTAAGAAACTTAAATGAAGGTCTAACCTGAAGAGAGAGCTTACCTCTGGATTTTCTTCCAAACACAAAAGCCTTGCCCAGCAGCTGCCAAGTGGGCCTGTATAGATCTTCTAAGTCCAGCTGCCATCTATCTGGTTCAAGATACCGAATAAGATCTTCCAAGGTGCTAAAGGCAGTGACAGCATTGTTAAGCAGGTCCAGCGGCAAAGCTGCAGCGGGTAGCACGGAAGGACTCACAGTTTCTGTCAACTGCTGAAAGTAAAACGAATCCAGTGTCAGACGGCAAAACCGTTTTAAAAATACGACGTGTTCCTTCTGGCCTCACGCACGAGGTTAGATAGGCAGACTAAGACCGAAAACACCTGCAAGTGAAGTTGTATTCAACCCCAGTGAGCAGTAAACTACTTTGCCAAGACTTCATGCAGATGAACTTGGACGGAGTTTCTGTGGGAAAAGATTTTCAATGGGCAAGACATTCACTTCCGTTACCACAAACCATGGTAGATGTGGGTATCTGTTGTTTACACAAAACAGAAGATGCCTCCGTGGTTCAGTTATGAACTTAACAACGGAAGCCTTAATAGAGTTTTTACCAAATTTTTCTTTTGTTTTCAACTTTTTACCCTCCTCATTCTGGAAAATCACCTGGGAGTTATACAAATGTGTGTCAGAGGAATTAAAGATGTAATGTAAAGTAATTAACCCATAAAGAATAAGAAAAAAATATATACGTGAAAAGCTAAAGGCTTTGACGTGGGAGAAGACGTTGTTAATCAAGATAGAAAACACCCAAACCATAAAAGAGAACTTTGATAAATTTGCCTAAATTTTTTGTAATCAACAGAATTAAAATACAGACACTGGGAGAACACCTTGGCAAACCATATACCTGCCACAGGACAGAGTACACGGAAAAAAAACAAACTCAATAGAAAACAGACAAATTCCAGACAAGAAGCTTGAATGGCCACTAGACATATGAAAACATGCTAAAATTCATTAGTTATCAGAGAAATGCAAACCAAAATGAGATATTTCACATACAAAAAAAGAGATACTATTTCACTTACAGGAGATCGGCGAGCATTGAAAGGAAAGGATTGCCAAGGGTGTGGGTAAATTGGAATTTTTCTGGTCTGCCTGCAGAAGTGAGTATATATTGGTATCACTGTAGTTGATGTAACTGATGCACATAGGATACTAGAGTTGAAGATGGATATGTCCCATGTCCCTGTAATTCACTTTTGAGGTTACAGCCTTTCATTTGCACACATGGAAATATGTGCACATGAATATCAATTCATCACAGTGTTGAAAGGGAGAAAAACTGAAAACCACCTAAATGCTCACGTATAGAGCAATGGATTAAAGTACACCATTTTAAAAGGCAAGCACCAAAAGGAGGTAATAATTTCAGAAAAAGTCCATTAAGAAACACCCTCCTTCCCTCCCCAATTTTTAAAGTGGACTAAAAGTGGGGAGTGGTAGATTAGAACTAAAATCAAAACGCAAAATAAATACAGGAACAAATGCTCCACTTAATTTTTTAAATTTATCTATTTGTTTATCTGCAGAAAAAGAAGAAAAGGGAACAGTATGGAATAAAACATTTACGTTGACTGATGTTTATTATAGTAATGTTTAAAATAACAAAAAGTTGGTCACAATCTAAATTTACAATAGTGGAACAGTTAATGACCCTGCAGTCATAAACTGAAACAGTGGGACAGGCATTATAAACGAGGCCTTCGGGCTTCCCTGGTGGCGCAGTGGTTGAGAGTCCACCTGCCGATGCAGGGGACGCGGGTTCGTGCCCCAGTCCGGGAGGATCCCACGTGCGGCAGAGCGGCTGTGCCCGTGAGCCATGGCCGCTGAGCCTGCGCGTCCGGAGCCTGTGCTCCGCGACGGGAGAGGCCACAGCAGTGAGAGGCCCGCGTACCGCAAAAAAACAAAAACAAACAACAACAACAACAACAAAAACGAGGCCCTCTAGCAAGATGTGGAGCAACCTAAATGTCCATCGACAGATGAATGAATAGAGAAGACGTGGTACATATATACGATGGACTACTACTCAGCCATAAACAAGAATGAAATGCCATTTGTGGCAACATGGACGGACCTAGAGATTGTCATAGTGAGTGAAGTCAGTCAGAAAGAGAAAGACGAATACCATATGATATCACTTATATGTGGAATCTAAAACATGACACAAATGAACTTATTTACAAAAGAGAAACAGACTCACAGACATAGAGAACAAACTTATGATTACCAAAGTGGAAAGCAGGCCGGAGGGGGAGGATAAATTAGGAGTTCAGGATTAACAGATACACGATATTACATATAAAATAGACTAGCCAACAAGGACCTACTGTATAGCACAGGTAACTCTATTCGATACCCTGTATTAAACTATAATGGAAAATAATCTGAAAAAAGAAGATGTATATATATGTATTACTGAATCACTTTGCTGTACAGCAGAAATTAGCACAACACTGTAAATCAACTATACTGCAATAAAAAAATGAGGTCTTCTAGGATTTTTTAATTAAAAAAGAAATGCCTAATATGTAGTAAATGACAAGAAATCCAAGCTATGTAAACACAGCATTATTATACCATGATTTCAACATACATACGTTGAAACAAAACAAAGAAAAATCAAAAGCACCTAAAATGTGGAGTGTTCATCTATGGTTTTAATGAGAATGGGTGATTTTCATTTTCTTCCTTATACCTATCCATATTTTCAGCACTTTTTATAATAAGTATGGATTCTTTCTAGAGATCAGGTAAAAATGATAACATTTGCTATAATTAAAAAAACTATCATATCAGCTCTTCCTTTTCATTGTCATTACTCAGATACAGGGTAGACCCTGAAAACAATGGACTATATTTAGCAGTCTCTAACTTTGTCTCCCTGCCTTTACTCTTTCTTATTCCTTTTATTCTATGCTGCATAACCCTGGGTTAATCTACCTAAAATAAGTTATCGCTGATCACGGGATGAATTTGGACAAATGCCTAGAGTGATTTCTCATCTGGAAGATAAAATCCGAATTCCTTTCCCTGCACTCAGAATCCTCACCACCTGACCTTCGCTCACCTTTCGCATCTAATCCTCCACTCATCAAAGACAGGCACATTTTGTCCCAATCAATCTAGTCTCCTCACTGGCTGCTGCACATGTCATATTCCTCTGACCTTGACCTTGCACTTCTCCCCATACTGTTGTTGTTGCCCCCCACCACCAGGCAAAACTCTCCATCTTGTGATCCACATAATAAATCTTTACCATTTCTAACAGCCTTTCTTGAAACCCAATCCATCCATGAAACCTTCCCGAGTAACAGGGCCATTGCTTCCCCAAACACCTCAATTGGGTCAATTTGGAAAAGACCCTCTCCAGGCTATCCTGTGGACACATGGCTTGAAAAGCAGAGGGTACTTGCTTTTCAGAAAAAAATCAGAAAAAAAGGACATCCCTTCTCTGGGGCAGACACAGCCCCTGCTGGGACTCATGGCTTTGTGGGTCCCGAGCCCCACTTGCCCATGGTGGTAGTGGGGTTTAGAGAGGATAATCCTCAGAAATGGATCAACACTGATTTCATTCTTATTTTAAAGATTTAAAGATCGACTTTCAATAATGTCAAGACTCTGGCTAAAATATTAGCACTGAGATGTTTTTCCATTATTCTATCCAACTTTTAAGAGTAGAAAGCACATTTAATATATTCCTCTTTACTACCAGAATGTTTTTAATTGTCCAAGAAATGCAATATTGCTTTGATAGAGAGTACTATTATGACTGATAAGTACAGTATGGATATAAATAAGCAATTCTCTAATAAAAGTGTTCATTACTAATTTAGCCAATTTGGTTAACACTGATTAAATTTATAATGTGAAAAACTTGATGCAACGGTTTTGCAAATTTTTAAACGATAAGCCAAAATGTGTATGTTTATGTAAAGTGAAAAGAGTCAGTATTACTCAAAGGATAACTGAGTTATGACTGTGATGATACAAAACAAATCAAATGTGTCAATCTGCACACAGAGGGTAAGTGTATAGAAAGCCTATACAAAAAGTATACAGTATTCATTAAAGTGTCAGAGTGCAGATGTATATTGTAGGCATGATATAAAATTGTTATTTATGCTCTGGGGTTGGCTTATTTTGCTTCCACGTCTGTTGGAAATGTATAGAGCATTCCTTCAAGAGCAATGAAAAGTTCCAACTGAAATGAGGACCCCTGAGATAAAGTTTAAAGTAGTTATACAGAAAAAGAAAACACAATAAGTCTGTAATGTTGGACAAGCAGAATATGCCCATCTTGGGTTCAATGAACTATCAGAATATCAATCCCCTCAAATGACAAAGGGAAAAAGACAACTTGGCAAACGTTACTGCATGCAGATAATTGGTTGATGTTATAAATCTCCACACTTTTAAATATTTAAATTAAAATAAGACAATGCTTTAAAAAGATAACCCCATACACACATACACACAGGCGCACACACAGCAGTCCCCACCCAAAAGAAACAGGAGGGGAGAATTAACTCACTTCCTCTGGATTCAAAGATTCAATCCCGGGACAGAACAGAGGAAGGAGTGCTTTTCTTTTTTAAGGGCTTCCTCATGACTGTCACCCACCCACTGGTTCAAGGAACAATCAAGTTGCTCACGTTTGAAGTTCTGCTTTTCTAAGTTGTCTAAAGGGATTTTTCAGAGAAAAGGGGGGCACTGGGGAAAAAAAAAAAGTTAGAGGGAAAAATACCTTCTACTTTTTTTTAAGCTTTAATTTCTCCTCTAACTAAGAACTCCTCTTGCTGGTACAAGCCTAGAGGCTTTGCTCTCATGTTTAGTGTCTAGAAAATTCTACCAATATCTTTGCTGTGTAAAAATACTTACGATCGGGCTAAGTGCCTCGAATTGAATTGGATTTGCCTATTCCCCACTCCCCAGCTCTCTCAGTTGCCATGAAAATAGATGCTTATCACTAAGCTATGGGTTGTGCTGGCTATTTAGTGGAAGCCAATGTTCAGAAACAAAAAGCAGTGTTTCTTGGCTTCTGTAAATGTACACAGCTAAGTAAACCAATAGTCCTACTTCAGTAAGCCAGAGAAAAGCTTTCCTGCTATTCTCTTCAGTGTAGCGGCAATAACCTGGGTTACAACCTAATCCTAGTCTAGACCCTTTTGGCTATATGACTTGGTAAGGACAGATCCTGAAAGAGG